CGCCAGAAATATTTTAATAGCTGTGACTTACCTCTCGACCGTTTAATCGAGAGAGGTCAATTCTAATTTATTTATTATTTAAAAGAGATGGCTTTTATTACCCAAATGTAATTGTTTGAAGACTGTCTTGAATTTAATATGTGCTTTTAACTTGTTTTTATATGACTTCATCCTCTGGATTTGGTACATTGTACTTTTTATAATTTTTATTCATAAGTTCATTCTATTAGGTCATCCCACCATTTGTTTGGCGCATCATAATCATCATTGGTTTTTCCGCCAAAAAACTCACTCACTCACTCACTCACTCACTCATCATGAGTAACAGACAAGTTGTTTCAATGTTTTAGCTGGTCAATTAATTTTAAAAACTTCATATTAAACTACTAAGGTCAGTAATGACCATTTAACACTGATTGAGGGCTACTGGATTGAAAAAAGTTATCAGAGGAACAAGCTATTAAAAATAAAAAATATATAAAGTCTTTTGCATGAAAAATGTTACTTTCTGAGGAAAACTTTTGTAATTATGTTTTAAAGAGTTTATTTTAAAAATAATAGCTGTTATTTGTCCATTTATTTTCAGTGACCTTTGTTAATATTTCTTACGATTAGTTTTAAGTCTCCTTCCATTTCTGATGCTGTAATCTTGAGAATATGAATTATTTAGTTAACTGTTGTATTTAAATATCATGATTATAATTTAAAACATTTTGCTCTTTTCCTTTCTTTGATAGTGAAAATATCATCTTAAAATTGGAAGTTTATAAAAACAAATGCATCAAATGTAGGTACTTATAGAAATTTAGTTAATAGATGCTCTTTAAATACAGGTTTCCATAAGCAGATTCAAATTCTCTTGGAGGATTAAGTGATACCAAATGTAAAGTATTATTTAACAGCCAATTTTCTTAGACTGCATATCATTCTTGCCGAGTAGTTCCTGCAAATCCACTAGGTTTGTTCTAAAACTTGAAATTTGACTGTAGTTGCAATTTTTCTGATCTTTAGCCAAATTTCTGAAGAAATCGTTAGTGTCAAATTGATAATATTTGTATATCAATCACAAGAATACTGGGATAATTTCTTTAAACTTTGTTTCTAAGGCCACTGATGCCAGATATCCACATATAAGCATTTTGGAATTCTCTTGAAAAGGCCCATCAGTGGCCAAGCTATGAAATAGCTGAATACTGGTTTTTTGGCCCAGGCTGAAATTCAGGTAAATGGCTGATTGCATTTGAGGTTTTATAGTTTTGTCAGTCATAATACAAATATGACACATTTCCTTAAGGCATCCTATCCTTCACATTAAGCATATAACCCTTGCATGTTTTGCTGTAATCTAAATAATTCAATCTAATCCAATATTTTTGTTATCCAAAATTCATATTCAATATTGCCAGTAGTGAAATTTCTTGCAGTTTATGTAATGTGGAAGCTCAAGACATGAAATCAGACCAAATTACAAGATTTTTCAAGTATTTTATGAGCAAAATTTGCTATTCTAGCAGTTCATAAGGTAGTATTAATGAAATAATATAATAAAGTCATATAATAATATCGTATGCGAAATATAAAACTAAACATGGGTATAATAAATAAATACAATACCTGTTTATTATGGCAACAACTTTAAAAGCTGCCAAATAGTTAGAACGGGCCAAACTGATGATTTCGTATGATTTATTATTATTATTTATTTATTTTTTTTTAGTGTTAGTATGTGTGAAAGAGACAGTTGTTCCGGTTGTAATCCAAGCTATAATAGTTCTTATAGGCAAATCATGAAATTTTTTGCCTTAAACTGAATTTTAAAATATGTACTTGTGGAATTGGCCAGCAATGGAAGAACGAGTACCTTTGCAGGAATATCGTAAAAAATAAGGAATCTGAAAAAATTTTATAATAGCGGGGCGCCAATGCCAGCTATCCAATTCTGCAATTCTCTTATTTTTTAAAGCAAAAATGGATTGATGTGTGCATGGGGGGGACAGCATAAAAAACGTGAGAAGTTGATTTCACAAAAAATCTTTTTCTAATGTATAAAATAATCTTATTTATCAATTAATATATTTTAAGGGCCCTTTTTATCTGTATGCCCCCCCACTTGATAAATAGATAGTTCAGCATCTTTAAAAAAGTCTTGAAAATATCTAACTGAACCAAGGTTGGTTGTGTGGATCCTAGTTTCAAAATGCTGTTAATGATAATATGGTTCTTATTGTATTATTTGTTGTATCTTGATACGGGTTTTTTTTCCATATGAAATACAGTTAAATGAAGTTTATGGGCTGTTCCAGTTCAATTATTCAAAAGAGTTGGGTTTTTCGGATGGTTGTGAATTCAGAAGCAGAGTACTAGAAAAATGTTTTGCGTTATTGAAAAAAAGAACGGAAATCTTTAGGTTAGGAGCAAAATGAAAATGTTGCTTTTTTCTCACGTTCATCCTTGTCCGTGGGCTCTAAAAATTTTTGCAAATTAAAAAAAAAAGTTTTTTAGCTTGTGTCACTGTGTTCTTTTTAGTTGGTGGTGTTTAAATGCATAAAATGATTGTTCATAATCACTGTGCATATAATAAATAGTTCATCTCATTTTTGGTGCACAGTTAAATTGCTTTTAAATTAATTTTAAAGGTTTGAATAATAATATGCCAGTGTAAAATTTAAAATTAAAAAAAAAAAAAAATCTTAGTATGCTGTATTTTTAAAGCTGATAAAATTTGATTCAAAATTTTGCACCAAACTGAGTTTGCTTTTTTGGCTAGTTTCAAATTAAACATTGTCATATTGTATTATTCCAAATCTTTAAAATTATTAGGAAATGGAAATTTTAAACATGTCTAATGAATTAGAATTTTGGTCATGCTAATTTAATAGATTGTAAATTATATCTATAACAAAAATTATATTTATGTATATGACATACATTTTAAAATAAATATATGTGATAAATTTACATTAATATTAAGAATGTAATTTTCTCACGTGATTATATCAGGTTGAAGTTTTATACATTTTGAAAACCAAATATCTGCTAATGCAGATACTGAAAAATATAATAATTACATGAGATAATATTCTAAACCTGAAGTTGATAAATTATCTTCAAAATTAAATTAACAGTAGCATATTTGATGTTCAAAAGAATAGATGATGAAAAATAATCTGTAAACTGTGTTTAATATCAATAAGTGGCATATTACATTTTTCAGTCTTTGTAAGTGTAAAATTTATAAGGGTTATTTGATAAGCTCAGTAAAAAAAAAATCAAATTTAACATCATTTTGACACAAGATGTCCATAGGTTGCTGTGAAACATGATTAACTATAGTTTTGAAATCTACTTTTATGTGCATTTTTCATTGATAATCAGCAGCTGTGGCCGCCATTAAGCATACATCCTTTTCACCTGCACTTTTTGTGCTGGGTATTGTGCTCTTGTTTGAAATGCTTTCTCTTAGTAGTCTTGGGCACTTACATGCACTAATCTTGCATAATAATACTATAGAGTTTTTAACAATATATATTTAGTGGTCATCCAGGACTCATTTTTAAAATCAAATAAATGTTTAGATTTATTTATCCAAGTTTCAATGCTGGTATTGAATCGTGACCTGATTTGAGAAGTTGTCCCACTTCTTTAAATAGTCGACCAGATGGTATAGTGTTCTTTGGAGTCTACTGTGGTATCGAAAGGCTCAGGTTTGAATCCCGGAGTAAGCATGGTTGTAATTCTCCGTCCCTCCATAGGAGGCAGTGGTGGCTGCCTATTAGTTGCCTTCACAGTAAAATGACCACCACTTCTGGTCTTTGGAGTGGCCAGTGCTAAACAGGCAAATGCTCACCATTGGATTAAAAAATATCTTTAACTAGAAATGTTTTATCATTGCATTAAACTTCCCAATTTTTTTAACTATTTTTGTGTTAACTGATGCCTTAACTACTTTAAAAGTCTGTAGAACTTTAATAGCATTTTGCTACTGACTAAAATTTGTTCTGAGCTTGTTTAATCCGTGACACTTACCATCCCTGAAATTGTTAAATGAAGTACGAGGGCTATCCAGAAAGTAGATTACGTTTTGGAATAAAAAAATAAACAAAGTATAGGAAACAAATTTATTATATACAGATGAAAGCCACACTCAAATACCTACTTTTCTACTAGCACCATACAAATTAAGGCATTTATCGTAGCGATGTACGAGCTTGGAAATTCCTTCGTCGAAAAATCGGCCGCCTGCGCCCTTCAACCACTTCGTTACCTCTTCTTGCCTTCATCTTGCCACAAAACTTGTGGTAACCAAGCTTTTCGCTGATGATTTCGTGCAACAAAACTTCGAAATTTGTGGAAAACTCAAAGGAAAGAAAGATCCGTTATTGTGAAATTTCGATTTCACGGACTTTAGCATCGACTTTTTCGAGAAGTTCGGCGGTCACTCATGCTGGGTCTCCCACTTCGATCTTCGTCGTGAACATTGGTTCGGCCATTTTGAAATCTTATGACCCACTGACGCACTCCACCTTCAGTGATAATAATGTTGTCCCATACACTTCACGAAGCTGCGATAGATTTCTATCGGTTTAACAGTTTTTTGCAGTCAGAAAACCTTATTACTGAGCGCAGCTCGCGGGATTTTCAATTAACGCAGACATTTCAAACCGTCACAGTATCTGAACGTAGCACAGCACGAACCTCTCACTAGCACGGCTAGATGCAGACTGAGCTGCGCAACGCTCTGACCCCAAGATGGCCGCGCTAGCCCCGCCCCTAGCGGACACAGACGGAAACGTAATCTACTTCCTGGATGGCCCTCATAATTGCTAGACCAACGTGTAGAAATTTGCCAAATTTATGAAACGGCCCTTGTATATAATATGAAATAGGATTATTATGGCTTATATTCATAATCTGAAGTGCATAAACTTTTAATTCCTTGTATAAATTTTTATTTGATTTCTTTGTATTGTTACTATTGATTATTTCATTGTTCATTTTAGATCCGAGTGTGTATATTAACAGATTTGCTTACCAGCTAGAATTAGGTAAAAAATGTCATGATGTAACTATCACAGCAGCTAGACTTGTTCAGAGAATGAAGAAAGATTGGATGCATACTGGAAGAAGGCCATCTGGACTTTGTGGTGCAGGTATGGGGTTTGTGGTGTGTATCTTCATTTCTATTCCTTCTATGAATGAATGAAACACATAGTTGTTTGCCTTCTGCAAAACCATGCAAATGCAGTGGCCATTCTTCAGTACCTCTCAAAACTTTTAAGATAGGTTTTCAGTGGTAAGTTACTATCTCTATTTCTGCTTCATTGTGAATAAACAAGCCACACAACTGGTTTTTTTTTTTTTTTTTTCAAAAGCATTCAAATACAGCATTGGTTCTATTGGGCATCTTTGCTGCCAAATTCAACTTGCTATTTCTCAAAAACATTATCTTGTGGTTCAGAGTGTTTTCAAATTCTATGTTTGTAAAGTTGTAATCCAAAAGGAATGCAGAAGACAAGCCAAACATATATTTATTTTTAATGACACAGATATAGTTGCATAAGTCTATATACATTACTGTAGATCACATGATATAAAAATCTAAAAAAAATTATCAAATGTCAAACACAATTATTTAAATCCAGCATCAGACATTTCTTTCTGCCACATCACAGCCATAGTTTAGGCTTCACTGTTGTTGCCAAATTAAAAATCGAAGCACAAAAAAGAAAGTGGGTGTCGCAGCACCCACTTGTGCAGAGAAAAATCTTCACATTGTTAAAACATTCAAAATAGGTTTCGGGCACTAAGTTACTATTTTTGTTACATCGATGAATGGATGGGATCTGCAATCATTTGCTTTCCGCAAAAGCGTGCAAATACAGTATCTCTCAAAGCTTTCAAAGTAAGTTTTTTATGGTAATTTACTGTCTTCATTTCTTCTATATCTATGAATAGATTAGATCTGCAGTCATTCTCTTTCCATAAGAACGAGCAAATATGGCACCCCTTCTTCTCTACCTTTCTAAACTTTTTTAAGATGTGTTATCAATAACAATTTACTATCTTTATTTCTGTTTTAAACTATGAATGCCTGGGATCTGCAGTCCATTTATAGATATAATAGAAATGAATTATGATATAGTAGAATGTTTGCTTTTCACAAATGTATGCAGATATAGTACCTATATACTATATAGTGTGAGATTTTGAATGTTCTTCTGCTTATAATTTTACATTCTGTGGTTACTTCCCAGGAATGCTAGTTACTGCTTTTCTGTGATTACCCCCCTTTTTTTTTTAAATAATTCCAGGACATTTCTAAAGAACAATAAATAAATTCTAATATTGCTACATAGAGTCTATGTATAGAAAATGTTTATAGAAAGAGAAGGGAATAAACTAAAAATTAAAGAATATAGTGATTAGTTAAGGAATTTCATATTGTGCAGTCTATCCTGAAAAAGAAGAAAAAAAGTGTTTACTTTTAGAGGAGTTTTTAAAAATTATTATTAAATTCCATCTGGAATAGGGATTTTCAAATGAGTTAAAGTGGTGAAAGTGGACAATTAACAAGAGAAACATTGATTGTCCACTTTCAGCATTTGAAAATTGAGGATGTTTGTATGATTTCTTCAGTGAATCCTAATCTGCTATCTCTTACATGACGCTGAATATATTATTAGCCTTGAAAACAAGCAATAATTATTCAATAATAAGTTTCATTTCAGAATCACAATCAGTTACATTTACATTAGGATATAGGGAAGGAGCTGTAATTATTAGTGAACATGTGTACAGAGCTTTCAACGTTTTACTTTTAATGTATTCAAAATATGACATTTCACTGACTTCTTTAGGAGTAAAGAGAACATTTTTGTTATCAATTTATTTGAATAAAACCTTTAATGATAAAAAATATTGACGCCTTAATATTTTAAATGGAATTATCAATGCATCAAGAAGAAGAAATGATTGCGGATATTAATATTGTGACAGAAAATGCTTTCTTTTTTCCATGAAAAGGAAACTTAGTGTATACAGTACAAAGTCCAAGATCCAGACTCATCGGGGCATCGTCAATTCTGGATTTGGGATATTCTGATAGATCACCAGTTTAAATCTAGTAAGATTACATGCAGAAATTATGAAATTAAGAGTTTAAAAGAATCAAAATTTACAAAAAACTTCAATATTTATTTGTTTGCTTTATTAACATTTCTTTCAATGTGAGTTGTTTAAGTTGCTTTAATTTTTGTCCCAATACTTTCTCTTTAATTTTATAAATAGACATATTTTTTTCTTCAGTTACAAATTTCCATTGTTCAAGTCCTATAACTGCCATGTTGAGAATTTCCAGTAAATTGTCAATTGATATTTTGAAGCTTTCTGTTCCTTTCTTCACTATGAGCATTGATATTTTCTGGATTTAGAACCAGACAACAGATTTTCTCGTCCATTAGTTGATAATCATAATGAAAAACTTCTTTATATCATCTTTATTTATCACCACCACTCCACGTTTCTTCATAATTGCATTAATTGGAAAATTCCACCTTTTGTTTGCAGTATTTGAAAGTCTTCAAAGTCACAATTATAATCAGAGCTTAGCTATTGTCCACTATATACTATAGCTAAGTTTGGCCATTTTGGATAATTTTTTTTAATAAATAAATAAATAAAATATCAAATTTTGGAAAATCCACAAGAAAGAAACAAACTATCAAGGCTTGTGTTTTTAGTAATAAAGTGAAAATAAACCTATTCAATTTGAACTAACAACAGGATAATACATATGCATATCACTATTTAAAAATGAATTTATCTGTAATTTTTATTTTTATATGAATTCAAAGTATGTTAAAAATAACTAATAATAAAGCTGAGTTATCTTTTCAGCACTTCTTGTTGCTGCAAGACTTCATGGCTTTAATAGAACTGTTGATGATATTATTAAAGTTGTTAAAGTTTGTCAAGCTACTGTTAGGAAAAGGTACAGTCTTTAGTGCTAGAGCATCTCATTTACAAATTTCTGAAAATTACTTTCTGATTTAACTTCACTATTGCATTTTGGTTAGGTTAGCAGAGTTCATTGATACACCATCTAGTCGACTTACTTTAGATGAATTTATGACTATTGACCTAGAAGAAGAACAAGATCCCCCAGCTTTTAAAAATGCTCGTAAGAAAATGCATGAGGTAAAAGTGCATCTTTTTACTTTCTCTGCAAATTGTTAATGAAATTTAAACTTAACCCCTTCGCGCCGACTGTCATGTATACGTGCCAGCAACGAACACACTTATCTCCCGGCCGACACACAGGCGTGCCAGAGCATTGTTGCATTTTCTAACTACTGTCACATATTTGTGCCAGTACCTTGGAATGTTTTTCAAACTATAATTTCTGCACAAGATGGCAACTGTATGTCCATATGGTTTCAGATACGTGTACATTAGACTTTCTACTCGAAATGAGAGAAGCGGACTCACATACACGTGTTTTTGATTATATAAACAAACAAAGAACTAAATGTTTCCGAATGGCAGATTTATGACGTCTCTTTAAATCGCACTTTATTCGCACGTGTAGTTGTTTATTGTAAGTAGAAGTTTTAGATGCGCTAAAGCATTGAGTTATTTCCGTACAGCTCAGTTTTAGAAAATAATTAGATCTTGTTAGACGTGAATTCTTCTGTTTTTTACCGTTTCAGTGTCGAAGCGTCGAAAATGTTTAACAGAGCATGAAATAGCAGAAATGAGGCAAAATATTTCAGATATTGATTCTGAAATTCTGATATTCTGATATTGATTCTGAAAGATTAACTGAAAGACATTTTCCAAAACTTTGTTCAGAAGAGACCGATAAGAAAATGAGACGACGATGCTTCGTTTGTTCACATTCCCTGAAAAATCCTCCAAAACGGCAAATGAGTTATTATGAGTTCAAGGAATGTAACGTAGGGACTGTGTGTAGATCCCTGTTTTAAAATTTTTCATACGAAAAGAGAATTTTAAGTAATATATTTAGTTTTCAGATGTATAATGTTAAAAGTCATAAAATGGTGAGTAATTAAAATAAAATGTGTAAAATATGCATTTAAACAAGAAATAATATAATTAAAGTATATATAAAAATATCTATAAAGCATAAGCCCTTTAAATACTCTATAGAGCATTATTAAACAATGCGTTGATACTTCGGAAATTTCATGGATTTAGGCTTAGTAGCAAAAAAGCCCCCGGCCCTGGAGAGACGCTCGCGGGAGACACTGCTGGCCTCCACGATAAGCGCGCGTTTTCGCTACCCGGCTCGAAGGGGTTAATTTTGTAGATTTTCAAGAATTATATGCAATGTTATTTTCAAAAAATGCAGCTACTTATTTCTGTGTAATTAGAGTAAACAATTATTTTGCTTTCATTTTTTATTAAACTGATGCTGAATTCTTTAAGAATCTATAGTGATCCTTTTCTCAAGTGACCACGTGGGATTCTGGAAGATTCTGATCTTCTGTTGAAATGGATATCTTAGGAAGATTATATTCAATATAAGTATTTATCCAGAATACATATTTATTTTGGTCTTTATAAATACAAATTATTTTCAAATATTTGAAGGTGGTCACTATGAGAGAGTTCATTGTAGTAATTTCATAATTGTTAAATTAAAAACCAGTTTTTTTTAGTTTTCCTAATTGTTAAATTTTAAAAATCAATTTCCTAATTTAAAATTGTTAAATTAAAAAAAAAAATTTTTTTTCTGAATTCCTCTTGTATGGATTAATTTATTATCATATGAATCATATAGTACTGAAACATGTTCTGAAACTTATAGCAAGTAATTAGATATAATGAAATACTTTTAGAATCATCATAGAAAAGTTATCTGTAGGAAAGTAATATATAGCATTATTACAGAAAGAAATCATTTTCTAAGTAATAGAAAAAATAGGATATTAATTTTGTGTGAATACCAGTCTCTAAAATCATTTTTAAAAATAAAATTGTATTTATAAAGAAAATATTTTGCTTAAATATGCTTAAATTAAGTGTGTAACTTCAACAGAATTGTACTTCATTTATTTCTACCTTAGACAGTAGAGTGATTTGTGGTGTGGCTGATTGCTAACCCGAAATCAGAAGTAAGGATTCATCTCTTGCATAAAGCTCGGCTGTACATTGTGTCTTTCCATCCTTCTTGTAGGTGTAGTAAAGGTCCACTATCTGTGTTAAATGTTGGGCAAAATACGCTAACAATAGCATGTAACTTTCCACATCACATGCTGATGATGTAGCTAAATAACCGACTTGGTCATGTCTAATGAATGCTTTCCAACAAGTTTCTGGCCATTGGGGAAGAAAATGTCAATATCTTAGAAATGTTACTTAATTAAAATTTAAAGGCAGTGCAATTTATTGTGAATAAACATTTATTTAATAAATTCAAATCACAGGGTAAGTTGCAAAATTGTTATGTTGAGCAATACAAAATTATATATGACCTGATAAATAAATATGTACATCCTATTATGCCATTAAGGGCTTAACAAGGATCAGTAGGACTTCTGTCAGGTAATACAAAACATGCCAGTCAAAATTAATTAGAAGATTTGTGGCTACACCATCAAATCTGGCAGCCATTTCATCCAATGCTAAAAGATTTATACTAAAAGAAAAAACAGTATTGCACAAACGCAATTTCTGGAAATGCAAACAAAACAGGATCCTTCATTCTGCAAAATAAGATGTTATGGTTGTAAACTGACAGACACTGAATTATGGTAAAGGTAAATGAAGGAAGATTACTTACATTTGTTCTCTTGCATTAAATATGTGATCTCTGTTTTTCACCTCTCAATCAGGTAGAGAGCACAGGAGGTTTATTATTTTTTTGGGGGGGGTATGTGTGTGTATGCATATATAGAAGGTAGACGATGCATTTTCAACTTACTTTGAATCGTTATTCAAGACGTAAAACTTGCTGATTTATAATATTGCTCTTAGATGATAGTTTCTGGGATAAGATGGAGACAAGAGAAAATAATAATAATAAAAAAATTATTACTTCCTTCTCTTTTTCTTCAACTGTGAACAGGACTGAGGGTCATTACACAGTAAACTGTGTACATGGCATCTGAAAATCTTTAATGCCAGGGAGCTAGAACTTTACTGGTCGAAACAGACTGAAAAACCCATTGATTTGAGCATTACATATCTGGCTGATGAATAAATGAAAGCAGATTTTAAATAAATAAATAAAAATCTGAAAGCTTTCAGATTTCACATTATGCTAAAAGGGATTTTTTTTTTAACCTTTTATGTGTTACCTTTCTTTATTAAAGGTTCTTTGCACTTAAACTATAAAATTCAATTCAACAGCAATATCACAAAATAATTTTTAAATGAGGCTATCTTTAGAATTTCTGATACACGTGTGCTGGAAATAAAAATTTTTTTTTTTTTTTTTTTTTTCCATACAGTTTTGCCTTTGCTCTCTTTGAAATCATTGAATTTGTTAATCGAAAATTCATTGAAGTGTTACAAAATATGAAATCGATAATAAAACAAATTTCAAATTCCAAATTTGGGCTTCCAGGTGCCCATATTTGGTGGAAGATTACATTATTCAAAATTTGATGGCTCTAAGTACCGTTGTTTTATCACAATATGAGAAACATACATACATTTATGCAGATTCTTCATTATATAATTTCTTTAAATATAACACAGGGCAATAATATTTGGTGAGAACAATTTAAAAAGTGAACCGATATTTAAAGTTTTCAACACAAAATGCCATAACGAAATTAATAACATTTCTGGGCTAACGCTGTTTGGGCAAACATTTAAAATATTTATTGATAATTTTGAAACGTTCCTGCATTTCAGTTTGTCACTTTTTTCCCGCCCGAACAGTATAGTGTTTAGGAGAGCCTACTGCGGCACCAAAGAGTCAGGATTTGAATCCTGGAGAAGGCATGAATGTTTGTAAATATATAGTGACCATGCAGCGTGGGGTACTGTAAATATGTGGTGAGTCAAAAGTCCTCTCGAGAGGATGCTATTAGGGAAAGGGGAGTGGGAGATCCCTGGACCCATCCTCTCAAAAAGTGCTGTTCATCAAAATTGGGAACAGAAGGCCCTTGCCAATGGCAGGGGCAATCTTGCTCTCTTTCCCACAATAAATTTCATGGGCTTGTTCTGATGTCACTGTTAGGCAAGTCAGATAAGTTGCATCAATTTTCAACAACATTTGTGATTTTTAGATGCAAAATTTTTGCATTCTGTAATATTCTATTATCTTTAGACAAGTTTTTTTTCATAACATTTGTGAAAATGTTGTTTGATAAAATAATAAATTTAGACAGCAATAAAGATGCATGTCATATATTAAAAATTCAAAGTAATGTATTCACCATTGCTAATTTTTTCTGTTTTCTCTCTTTAAGTAATTAAATAAAAACTCAAGACAGAATAATGAGCTGTGCTTTGATAATTCAAAAATATAAATAATAAGCTTAACAAAATATATTTTTATAAAGCATTCCTCTTCCCAATTTAGTGTTTGAAATTTTATGCATTCTTTCTAAACTTTTATTAAAAACCTATTTTTCAGTTGGAAGATGAACAAAAAATGACTAATATAAAAAAACAAGTACTTGAAATACAGCAAATTCTTGAAAAAACTTTGGAAAGCACTAAGAAGAGATCCAGATTTTCAAAATATGCAGAAAGTTGCGAAGGTTTGAAACACTTTTAAATGTTTAAATTTTTTAATTTAATTTCTGTATTAATTTTGAGCAATGGAGTCCAATGCAAATGTAGCCTTAGTCCAGCAGTTTTATTTTATTTTATATACTGAAGTTGAGGCCTTAAAGGCAACATGTAAATTAAATCCTTTTCTGTATTATATTTTATTTAAAATTGTGAAGTGTGATATGCCAATATATTACAACATTCAAAATCACAATAACAACCTTGTATTTAGCGTACATATATTAAAACATTAAATCGATTTCGAGGGTAGCTAAAGGTCCCTCCTCATCAGAAGAACAAAATTACTAGATAGGGGAAAAAAGAAGAAAAATAAAGCATCGGCGAAGGAGTCTCAGAAACACGTGGTTGCTATCAGCACTGCACGTGGTTGTAACTGAATTTTGAATCAGAGTTACGTTGGCCACCTACTTTTACTGAGCCAGGCTTATACCCTCCAGTAGTACCGTGTGCAAGGAAGCAACACCATCTATTGGCAAAAAAATAACCAAGAATTATGTTAATAGAATTTTAAAAGCGTTAGGAAGGACTGATTGGACTTAAAATAATTCACTAAACATGCTAGATCTTTGTGAATATGAAAACCTCGAGAAAATCCAATTCACCAACAGAAGAAGTCTTTTGGATAATTTTTGCAGATCCAAAGTCAAAATTATGATTAAATTTTTAACTATGATACGCTATTGAAGACTTGCTTACCAATGAACTTAATTATTTGAAAGCAGTCGCTATTGACCAAGGATTTTCTCCCGTGATCATTGATAAAGCCGTTAAAAAATTTTCAGATTCCTATCAAAGAAGACATTTTCTGTTAGTTATAAAGTTGCACGGATTCTCCAGAAATTCAATTTTCAAGTCAGTTTCTTCCCTATCAATAAAATTCACAGTTCAATTGTAAAAGCTTGCGTTTCTGACTTTAATTCTTGGGGAATTTATAGAATATCATATCAGTGTGGTTTGAGATATATTGGCCAAACAAAAAGGGCATTAAAGTTTCATATCAAGAAACATGAATCTTATGTCCAAATAGGCGAAATTAACAAGTCTTCAGTAGTGTATCATAGTTGGAAATTTAATCATAATTTTGATTTTGGATCTGCAAAAATTATCCAAAAGGCTCCTTCCATTGGTGAATTGGATTTTCTTGAGGCTTTTTATATTCACAAAGATCTAGCATGTTTAGTAAATGATTTAAATCCAATCCAGTCCTTCCTAATGCTTTTAAAATTCTATTAACATAATTCTTGGTTATTAATTTTGCTGATAGATGGCGTTGCCTCCTCGCGCATGGTACTACTGGAGGGTATAAAAATCCGTTACAGATGTTGCTTTTCCTTTGGATAAATTTTGTGCATTCTGAGTTATAATATGAATAATATGTCATAATATGAGGACTTTTTGTGCATTCTGAGTTAAAAAATGAACAACGACTGCTCTTTTTGAATTTTGGTAAATATTATTTTTGCCTGTTCTCCTCGATATGGCCAGTAATAGCGAACCACCTGATAGGGGCAAAATTCCTTGGCATGCTACTTTCAGTGATAATGATGGCGATAATGATTCTACTTATTTGAATTATTCAAGAAAATCGACTACATCCAAAGAGATGCCTGTTATTGCTTCAGATGACCCTGCGCTTCAAAGTATAATTGCTACTCTAATTTCTACTTAGAAAAGTAAATCCCAGAGAAAAGAAAAGAAAACCACAGGAAATCCTAAGAAAATAGCCGATAATACTAAGAAATTCAAACCTTCCCCTTCAAATTTTGAAGCAGTAGTTAACAAACACAGAAAAGTTTTTACTAATTTAACAGAAGCTATCTCGCAAGAATATCTTAATACTCAGCTTCCAACTAACCCAAAAGATCTCTCACTTAAATTAGAAAACGAAATTGCCGATAAATTAAACTGTATTGAGTCTATGAAGACAATAACCTCCTCACTAGTGATAGAAATGCATTCAAAGTTCCAAGAAGAAATTCAACAAAATCAGTTCATTTTAGCAGGCATTCAGAACACCCCAAAGCTCGCAAATTCTAAAACAGATGATAAAACAATAAATCAGAAGGATTGGCAAACTCCAAAGAAAACAGCGAAAAATTCCGAGTCTATCCCACCATCAGATATTCCACAAAATAACAGATTTGAAATTCTTAATGAAAATAACGAAGCTATGGAAGTTACAGATGAAACGCAGTCGACTGCTGCATTTCAGAGTTACAGATGAAACGCAGATGACTACAACACAGAATAACGCAGAAAATAAAACGAAAATTCCCCCATTAGTCATTTTAGGAAAACGATGTTGATTGGCCTGAAATAGACAAAATGCTCAGAGAAATATGTAAAAACGAATTTGAAGTTACAATCAAAGCCAGACAGATTTTCCTTTACACTACCACCGAAGCCGATTATAAAGCTACAGTTGATAAATTCCAGAAAAGCACAGATTAGTTTTCATACGTACCAAATTTCCTCAGCCTCTTCAATTAAAGTTATACTCAAGAATATCCCAAAACCGACACCGAGCAAGCAATTCGCTCAGACTTACAACGCAGAAGCTTACATATAATTGAAGTAATGTAATTTACGAAGAAAACAGAAGACCAAATTATCCGTTTATCTATATTTTTTCTTGAACTAAAAATAAATTCTGCAGGAGAGAAAATTCAGCAATTAAACAATATGTTCGGATTCAATATCACAATAGAAAATATCAGCCCAGAAAATGCCCAATTCAATGTTTCAATTGCCAGGAGCTTGGGCACTCCCAAAATAACTTGGAAGTTGATCTGTCAGCACTATCCTTATCTTCAGAGCAGATGTTTTTATTTCATTCGGCTTATAATTCTTACTAAATGTAGTATTTCATCTCGATGTACTCCGTGTTTGATATGATTTAAATCAAATTCCTCGTCATTATAAATATCATGAATACACATCAAATAGTTTTCTGGTTGCAATTTTTTAATTTTGACTATGCATAATGTATGCTTTATGCATGCACGCGTTGAAAGAAATGTTTAATAAAGTAAACAAATAAATATAAACCTTTTTTTTTGTAAATTTTGATATCCTTTAGTTCATAATTGCTCTTTATTTCATAAATTACGGTTTCATATTTTTAATTTTATAATTTCTGCATGCCATCTTACCAGATTTAAGCTGATGATCTATAATCCGGAACGCCAAAGTCCCGACGAGTCCGAATTAAAGACTTTTGACAGTATATTGGTAAAGGCCGCACTAGACCGATTGCCTCTTAATTGTGTTACGACATAGACATGCTTTCCCTTTATTCGAAGCTCAGACTTGGTGTGTGAAGGTGCAGTTGCCCCTTGCTCCCTATTTTTTGACTTTGCTGATATTTTTTTTTGCATTTTAGTCTATTGTTATATGTTTGATCAGATAGCTTGGCTCAGTAAAAGTAGGCGGCCAGTGTAACTCTGATTCAAAATTTGGTTACAACCACATGCAGTGCTGATAATGACCACGTGTTTCTGAGACTCCTTTGCCAATGCTTTATTTTTTTTCTTTTTTCTCCTTTCAAGTAATTTCATTCTTCTGATGAAGAGGGACCTTTAGCTGCCCTCGAAACCGATTGAGTGTTTTAATATATGTACGCTAAATAAAAGGTTGTTATTGCGATTTTGATTGTCACATTGGTGTGTTTCTCTTCTATTCTATATGACAACATATTAATTAATCTTTGAATTTTAAGATTATTTTTAATGTGGCTAAGCTTTAATTTAAATTAAAATTAATTCTTTCACTATTATCATGCAGGTGGAGAACTTGGTTCGCTTTTGTGTGTATAAGCATATATAATTCTGAAATGATCATCAGTTTTGGTATATTTAAAACAGTTATTTTAGATTTTGAAACAGACAGTCAGACGGTATTGTGATTAGGGGAGCCATCTGCGATACCAAAGGGCCGGGTTCGAATCCTGTATAAGGCATGGTTATAACAATTCATCCCTTCATACAAGATTTCTACGGTCCTTAAGAGTCCTTACTTTTTTTGGATTTGAATTTTGGTCTTTAAAAGTCCTCTATTTTAATCATCTGAAATTTCTGCCTGTTTTTACGACTGCCATTTTGAGTGTGAATTAGCATTTTGGAGGAATATTTTTGGTGATGCACTGATAAATATGGTTATCTTTTTAAAGTGGATGAATGGGTTATAATTTGTTTCTATTGCTAATACAAACATTGGGATACTCTAAATTCTGGGCAAAAAATTAAACATAACCATTTCGAATTTATTTCATTTTTCCTAATGAAGAGCTGTTAAACAACTTTTTGCTTTTGGTGGTGTGAATTATTTTACTAAATGGTTCTAAATTTGGTGATGTCTCAATATTTTGGCAATTTTAAGATAAGTTTTTATAGAAACAAATATTTTTCGACGATTCTTTTAAAACATTTTAACATTGAAAATCATTAAAATAACAATAACATATTGAAATTATATTTTTGAAGCAACATTAAAATGAAACATTTTTATTTTTCGCTGCAATTTTTTCTATTTTGGTAATACTATCAATATTACTTTCTATTTTGGTGACTTAATATGCAATATTTTGAATATGAAAAATAAACAAGGTAATGAAGCACAATTTACGAAATAATTCTTAGCAAAAGCATACAGCTATGGAATTAATTAAAATGTCTTCTGTTTAATTGTTTTGTGGTTAAAGTTTTCCCATGCAGTTGTCTCAGAATATGCATCATTTTTCTGTATAAAACGATTTTATACATTTTTCTCTTCCCCCCCCCTCAAAATATATCTGGCATTTCGCTAGTACGGGATTGGTAGGGGTAATTTTTCTGTAGGATTTTAGACATTGCAACTTAGAAAGCTTAGAAGGATTTGAAGGAAAGATTTATAGACCCAAGGTTCTAGAATAATCCGGAAAAGCGTAACAAAATGAAAAATGGTATTAATGTATAATGGGTGTATTTTACAGAAAGTTTGTGGTGAATTTCTTACTTTTTCGAGAAATTTTGAAAGAACAAAGGAAGCATAATATTTGAATGTTTTACTTCTGACACGAAGTCTTTTTTAACATGTTTTTCTTTCCTCTTTTTTCTCTACTTTTCACTAGACAAATGTGTGGAAAATATCTAAAATGCTTGTAATCTTATCACAGAGACAGACATTTATAGAAAGGAATTTTTCTATTTAAATAAAGAAATTGAAAACTGACAATTTAAATGATTCTTCTTATATGTTTCAACTCATCATACACAGGGCTGGCTCTAGGCATTTTCCCACCTGATGCATTCTCTGTGGATATTAAATTCTGCTTTCTAATGCCTTCCTATATTTTGCTCCCAGTGCCTGTCCTAAATTCTAAGTTTTGCAATTTCTAGATTTTTTTGCTCAGCGAGTCACTAAATTCTAAAATTTCGGCCACATTGGCTCTGTAATTGGCTTTACCATGTATCATTTAATATTTATTCTGAATGTTCATATTACTAAAGAAATAAAATTAGCAGCTTTTTCTGTGCATTTAGCTTTTAGAATAACAGAAATCTTAAATTAAATCCAAAAATTCTAAAGTTAATAGGAAATGTATTAAAGAAAGAAAAAGAAAAGAGAAAAAAATTATTTTTCAAAGATACAAACAGTTATTATTATATAAATTAGCCAGTTTATAATTTCAGTATTTACTATAACTTCCCCTTTCCTTTTCCTTGCCAGAATGCAAAATCAGTTAGATAGTTTCTAAACTGAGGTTTTTGTATTATAAAACAGAGTGTGTTTCTAACTTTGGCGTGCACGCTGCATTAGTTCCTGCCAGCTGTGATAATTTGTAATTATTTGTCTTTGCGTTAACATTGCATTTGAATTTATGACGATAGAGTTAATGAGCTATCTTAGTTTAAAATTAAACTGACTGCTAGTCCACACTTTATTCTGAATTTGACTGTTTCTGTTAACTACATCACCACGAGCTGTAGTGTATTTTGTAAGCATAAAAATGTGCCTTTATATTCTAATTTTTTTTTTTTTTTTTTTTTTTAATAAGAGGTTTATTTAAATATTTACCTGACTTGATAGTTACTTTCAGACAAACATAACAATAATTTGCTTCGTATCTGTCAGAAGTTTTGGACTATTTAACTTTCACCAGATCATGCAAAACCTCATAAGTACATTGTCAAGAGATTGACAAGTTAGGAGATAAAGCATGCAGAAACGAGTTGGAACATTATTTTGCATATTGAAACCAATTTCTAATTGTTAGAAAATATGCTTAAAGAGAAGGAAATTGATATAAATTAGCTAAAAATGTCTGGGAATACTTCAAATTAAAAAGACGCATAAATGTGTCTTGTTACAAAGCAAAAATATTTTGTGGATTTTAATGTGTAATTATCCTAATATTGTTTAAGAATCAATGGCATAGATTACTGTATTTTAAAGTGTGAAATGTTATTAGATTGTGATTTTAATGGTGCTTTTTTAACAAACATTAAAAAAAATTAATTAAATTTTGTAATGGCCATGTAAATTTATAATAACTAACAGTATTTAACTACGTAATTTAATTATTTATAACTAGCTGTTCAGCCTTAAAATTATCTCTGCATATTAAAGCAATTTATTGCCTTTTATTAATCCTTACAGTGATTATAAGATACAGCGCAAAAATGAAAAAAATATCTATAACTAATTCTTTGCATCTAGTGAGACTTAAAATAATACAAAACAACTCGTCACTTCTGGTGCTTCAGTGGCTTATTGTTACCTTAAGCTATATTAACTGGATTATAACCCAGAAGCTCTACACGAAGCTACAGCACTATCTGTGTCAGACAGACAGAGCACAGCTAGCTTTCAAACCTTGTAAACCATACATACATCAGGCTTTCAGGTTTGTTCTGATCAGCAGGTCTCTCTCTAGGGAAGCAGCAGCGGTGGCTGCTGCTTTTCCATTTGTCAGCCATAATATCAGGGTTGCCATGCTACCTGGAAAACCAGAAAAAGTCAGAGAATTAGTAAATTGACTGGAAAAGTCAGGGAATTTAAATATTTTGGTCAAAATTTGGAAAAGTAAGGGAATTACACACGGTGATCCCAAAAAAGTGAGTTTTATGCCAACGTTGGAAGAGATATCGTTATTTCAGCAAATTATATATCTCAGCAAATTATATATTGTGTGAACATCATTCGGGTAGCTGGTGTAGAGCTAGATTTTGCAGCTCCAATAAAATTGTCTTTTAGAAAGGCAAAGCAAGTTTCTAGCAACTTTGGTTTCCAATAACTTGATCAGGCATCATCTTCGAGCATGGGAGAATCGAGAGATTCGCATGCGCATGTGCAGTACATGTTGAACTAAAGAAAATACGTTCCCATTTGTATGTAAAACAAAATCACTTTAATCTTAGCATACAGTACACTTGGGATTTAGCAATGTTATGCTGAGCAGTAAATGGGTCATTTTGGTGTTGGCGACAATTTTCAAAATCGTGCCATGGCTGCAGCCTGTACTATGATTTTATCACAAAATCTTTTAAACTCTTTTTTTTTTTTTCCTTTTTAATAAATGCCTTATTTGTCATTTTACAGCAAAATAAAGAAAAAAATAGTAATCAGTCATCTGGGCTTACCGTTTAATATGAGTATATTCGCCAAAATATTATTGATTATTGTAAATTCAATTTTTAATTAACTTTATTTTAATGTTATTTGTACCATTTAATGTGGCTTTTTCACCTTAAGTTTATTTATTATTAGTTAATAATACTTTCAAATTTCAGGCAAATTTCTATGGCATAATCCTGAAACTAATTCTAGCAGTATGATGACATACTATCACAAAATTTAATGCATATATTTTTTGCTTATGTATACTGCTAAATAAATATAAAATTTGGGCTGCATATATTTTTTGCTTATGTATGCTGCTAAATAAATATAAAATTTGGGCAGATTCTAATCTCAATCTTCAGTAGAGAAGACTCCTATTTTAATTGTAATAGTAATGCTTTGGCGATTATATATATGTGTGTGTCATATGTAATTGGCAAGTTTTTGTGTTTTCAAATGGTACCATAATTAATTTACCTCTCAGCATAGCCAACACTCACTATGTGGATAGACTGGAATTTTCTTAAAACACACCTGGAAAAGTCAGGGAATTTTATTCTCCTGTTTGAGTAGCAACCCTATAATGTTGAAGTGGATAGAAGTTATTCTGCTTGCTAAAATATTTTTTTTTGCGGGCAGTCTCATTTCCTTCTTCTGCTTCTGTAAGATTCTTCGTGCATTCAGTTAAGAAGGGAACATGCATGGGCTCACTGGCCTATGCAGTGGAAAAGAAAAGATTTGTATGTCAGGAAATCTTTGTTCAGTCATCAGTGCTATAGTTTTAGTTAATTATGTGCTTTTAAATATTTGGAGGATGAACTGATGTGAGTATAGGCATGGAAACACATCTCTGGATATAGAGATCCATATTCAGGAAATTATACAGTTTTATAAAATTGCTTTGACAAGTAATGCATAAACATAAAAATGCTTTAGAATATATGTATGTTGATAAATTTAATATCATGTTATAAACTAAATTTGTTTTTGTCACGATGCTGAACTTATAGCTTTACTGATAAAATTAATTCTCACTATTATGTAGCTGGTAATTGATACAAATAAAGTTATGAACTCAGACTTTCCTGATGCTGCATTATGTTGCTATTTTTTATACACATTTCAAAGTATTTGACTTTATTTAAACTTGAATTATATTTTTACCTTCCAATGTCAAAAATTAGCTTTTATTTAATTTTTTTCCGCTTTGATATAAATTTTTTACAGATAACAGCAACAGTTCATTTTCAAATAGTTTACACGATGATAATGTGGATATGATCATAGCGGAAAATACAGTACATTCTCTTCAAGAAGTCATCGGCCAAGATTTAGCGTCTGATTCTGGTGTATCAGATGTGAGTGGTTTAGCACCTATTCTAATGAAAGAAACAGTGGCAATTGCTTGCAGCGAACAGTCATCTGAATCAGACCATGTCAAAGGTCCAGAACCAACAGCTGAGAGTATTGGATTAAAGGACAGTATAGAAGACTGCTTGAAGATTCCTGTGCATCCAGGTTTGTTTGAATCTTTTAAATGTATAGTATGTTACTAGTATCAGAAATATGATATAAAATAATGATTCTAAAATACTTCTTATATCCCTCAAATACTTATGTAATATTTGATTATATTTCTTTAGCTGTAGAAAAAAAGTAAAATTTGAAGTGTTGACTATGACCCATTTTCAGAAAACAAGTAATTTGTTTCTATACAGAGGTCACTCTGAATTTTTTTAGATGTGCGCAGATGATAGGTGGCAGAAAAAAGTTAACAGTTAAATTTCAAAATGGGAACTGTTTTAAACTAGCAGACAATTTTTTATTGGCCATTTGCCAATTGTTAGGGTAGAATAAATTTTAGGCTGAAGAAAAAAAATGAAGTTGACACAAAAACATTATCGCAGTATGATTTTAAAGTGGAATTAAATCAAGAAGAATGTGTTCAACATCTATAATTAGCATTTGAAAATGAAGGTCCATTTAGATGGTTTACAGAATTTCACGGAGCTTGCAATGCTCTTCAGAATGAACACATACAGAAAGAGTATATTGATAAATTTAAACTAAGGTTATAAACTAAATTCATTTTGTCATGGTGCTGAACTTAAAGTTTTACTGGTGAAATTAATTTTATGAAAGAAAAAAATGGCTGTTGTCAAGTGGTAATCCTGGATAATGTGTCTGCCATACAGAAAATGTTAATCGTTGCCCCTACCAAACAATACAGAAGAAGCTTAACGTTGGATCCGCAGACATACATAAAATTATTCATGGAAAATTTTATAGGAAAAAACTAATTTGCCATTGGCAGAGTTGCCAACTCTCCCAATTTCTGACTGTACTCCAACCCAATTTACAACATATTTCTCCCAAATTTCTCTTATTTTTAAAATCTCACAATTTTTATCTAGCTTGGCTTAATACTTTGGGATTTGCACCCAAAAAAGGGATTTGGGGCATCTGAAAGTGCATGGTTTTCCTGTAGATTTCATATAAAAGAAAACTGCAATCATTTATTTTGGTTATGTCGACAAAAAGTTAAAATATTCATGTACCTTTCAAAAATTGTACACAAATTGCTTTCCTTCCATTATTTCATAAAGGAAATGTAATACATTTGCTTTGTTTACCATTTGTCATTACAATTTTTTTGATTTCGAATTGTGGAAGAATCGATGTTCTTAAACATGTGCGTAAACAAAAACACAAGGCCGACACCAGTTGTATTAAAAAACAAACTAAATTCTTCTGTGGAAACAAGGGACCAAAAAGTTTATAAGGTATTTCTCCCGCCTTCTTAACATGCCTTCATAGTGTAGTGGTCTGTACGCTAGGTGCATATTCCAGAGGTCCATGGTTCGATTCCCAGCAAAGGCGTTGCTCATTTTTCATCTCTCCTGCTTCAAAAATTATCTAATGTCTCTACAGTGGTGCCCGAACTAAAAGGGTGGTGGATGATGATTCTCCGTACCCAGGATTTGGCAATTGAGTCCTCTAAAAACCCCATTCAACGTGTAAAAGGGGGAGTAGATAAGGTATTTCTCCCGCCTTCTTAGCATGCTTTCGTAATGTAGTGGTCTGCACACTGGACGCGCATTCCAGAGGTCTGTGGTTCGATCGGTGAAAGCGTTGCTCATTTTTCATCTCTCCTGCTTCAAAGAATTACCTAAAGTATCTACAAGTTATTAATGCAGAATGCCTGTTCTTTGCCTTTTTACTGAAGGAAACTTGCTATTGAATACAGCGGATCGTGCTACAGTTTTATGTAGAAAAATGTTTCCCGATAGCAAAATTGCTAAGAAATACTTCAGTTACTGATTCCATTAAAACAGCTCCATTCTGCTTCTCTATGGATGGAAGCATTAATACCGATGCAAATCTATATCTAATTGTTGTTTCTTTTTTAATCCAGAGTCTTCAGAAACTGAGTGTAGTTTACTTCCTCCAGGCTTTAAAATAGCACAGCTAATTATTATATCTCCAAAAGAAAACACAGTTCCTCTGGATAATCGTTTAGCACTGGGTGCTGACAATGCACCATTAATGTAGGCCTTGGAGACTTGTGTTGCAGTTTTCATTTAAAAAAAAAAAAAAAAAAAAAGACTTGCAAATTATGAGGTGCACCTGTCACATCTTAAATTTAGCAGTTGAAAAAAGACAAACTCCTTTCCCAATAAGCATAGATGAACACATTTTTTGTATTTATTATTATTTTGTGTTCTTGAAAAAATTCTAACAACTACATAAGACTGAAATAAGAAAATGTTTGAAATATGTATGCACATACTTGTTATCTTTAGATAAATGCTTGTCTGGAATCCTCAACCAATGGAATTACATGCATTTAAGAATTAGCAACTGAACTTTCAAACATTAATTAGTTACTACTTAAAATTAATTTGTTGTGAATAAGTATTTTTTTCTTTCTATGTACTTTTATCATTAAAAAATATTCCTGATTTCTTAGAAATTCTGAGAAAATTCTCCTGATTTCTTTAAAAAAAAAAATCTCATTTTTAACTGTCATAAGCTGTAAGTGTGCATTGGTTTCCCCATCATTTAACTGAGCACCAAACAGAGTAAGTAGTGTGTCAAAATCAGTAAAGAAACCCTTAAATTACTTAAAGTTGGTGGCCACTGCACTATTTCCAAAATCAAAACTGCTTAAGAAATGTAAAATTTTTTGACAAATATTTTTTTTTAAAGTTCCAACATGTTAAGAAAGTAAAGCATGAGTCTTTGCAGATGATCCCACACCCACAATGGTGAAAAGATTATATGCCATGAGAAAAGTAACAGAAAACAGATTTTCGTGATTGGTCAAAACCATCAAGCTGGAAGGATAAAAGACAGTCACAACTATCTGGTACACCCCTAAGTTTCTTCCAGAAATTCTTCAAGGAGTGAGTGCTAGAGGACTCATGTTCCACCATAACAATGCATTTTCTTATTCAACAAGACTAATGGTTGAGTTTCCTGAACGAAACAGGTGTAGTAACATCCACCCTATTCATCTGATCCAGCTATGTGTGACTTTGGGCAGTTTATTAATCTAAAAAAGAACATACATGGACGTCATTTTCATTCCAAAGATTAGACTAGTGAGGCTATAAATGCATTTTTTTCATCAATTCTAAGAAATGAATGCCTTAAGGCATTTAATCTTTAGAAAATTCCTCTTCAGAAGGGCACTGACACTGGAGGAGACTACTTTGAACACTCCTAAAATTTCTTAGTATAATTTTAAAAACCTATGTATATCTCAAAAATTTCAGCATGACCCTTGTATTAAAACGGAATTCAAATCAATTATTTGGTAGATGCAATATTAATGTTAAACAATTTTCACTATAAAAACAACAATAATTAATGATACAGGTATTTGGAATTAAAATTAAAATTTGCATATAATTAAAATTTGTGGCAAATACATATGATTACAAACATTAACACTTGCAAATGTATGTAATTTAATTGATAACTATGATATTAATTGGTATTTTTCTGTTGAGAAAATTTTAAATATTAAAAGAAAACTTATGTTAATATATTAATTAATCATTTTCCTCTTAGAAGCACCTCACAACGGGCTCTTTTCTTGGTTATTTTGATACATTTCTATGTTAAGAAAATTTTTATCACAGTTAAAAAGAAGTGACGATGAATTCTCGTTTCAAGCATTAAGATCATAAACATAACTCCGTAGAGAAAATTATTTGGCATACGTTGTCATATAGCATTTGGCATATAGCGGATAAGATGCAATTTTATTTATTACATTTATTTTTAGTCGGTAATGTCATTGTACATTAAATTCACAGTGAAGATAGGGAAGATGAAAATTCTTGCTTTATAAACTCTTATGTAACTCACTCATGGTCTTCATTATTAAGGTCAGAAATTTGTCATCATTTTTACTTCCTTGTATGAAGTAAAAAGGAAGTATTGTAATCATGAAAAGTTTCAGGCAGCATATTCCAACGAAAATATCCATTTTGACCGCTATTGAATGCAATTTAACGATGTTTTTACATGACATCTGTACGTAAGGACAGAATAAAAGACTCTTTTCCCCCAAAAAAATTATAAAACTGCTTTAAAATGAATTCTGAAGAGAATTTTTTATAGTGTCTTTACGTATGTACGTACGTATCTCGCATAACTCAAAAACAAGTAGGCTCAGAACGTTGAAATTTTGTATGTAGGACTGTATGTAGATGCATAGCATTTTGGTTGTAATCGGCTGCACCAAACGTATATAAATATATTTATATATATTTATCCATTCTGTTACTCGGCTCAGTGATATCAGTTTCCTAACTCTTATATGTTTGTAAATTGTGCATTTTTTGCTTTAAAAATGATTGAATTACGCCGTTCTTATCTTCTGGTTAAGATTTTTATGCCTTTAGGAAATCTTCAAGCAATATTTGTAGAATTAATAACAATTTAAAAGCTGTTTAAGTGCAGTTAAGCCTAATTTTTAAATAACATGGCGGACATGTTTGTTTACATTTGAAACAGCAGAATAGTAGATTTGTTGCCAATCTAGAGAGACTAAGCTTCGCAACAACAAAGAAGGGCCTTCATTTATTATTGCGAATTAAATCAACTTAATCCTTTGTGGAATTTTTTCAAGGAAATAAGTGTTTAAGATTTACTTCGTAATTTTTAATATAGATATTTTGAGTTTTTATGTATTTTTGCCTTGTCGCAAAGTGAGAACTGAATTAATTGAATGAGAAATACTGAATCGTCTGCGAAAACCGTTTCTTTTTTGTTTGTTTGCTTAATTTCTTTTATACATCATTCTAGATTTATTATAGTATGTGGCAACAATTAGATAATTCTTCAAATGATATAAATTTTGTGCATTCTGAGTTATAATATGAACGAAATATAATGCTGTTACGTGAATGTAGCGGCAGAGTGTTGCTTTGGTAAACAAATATAGTGAATTTTAAAGAGTGCATTTATTTTATTGTAGTTTATGCACTATCAACGAAGTACATTTAATTCAATTCAATAAGTTCAAATGAAATGCAAGAAAACGTGTGTATAATTTAATATTCCGTACAAGGAAGTCGTGTGGTGTACACATCAGATTCTTTTTTTAAACTATTGATTTAGCTTCTTCTTTAAGTTTATTAGTTACTTTATGAGTTTTAAATAAAAACTTATTTTATGAAAACCTTTGTTGTTGTTTCTCTTTAATATTTCATCTTTATTTTCTTTTAGTGCTAAAAGCTTTATATAAGCTTGTGCTATGTTTACACAGCCATTGCTTTTAACTAAAATCTTTTTCATTAATGTAAAAATTTGATTTTCTTTTATAACTAAACTATTAGCGATTGTTTGTTTTTAGGATTTGTTCTGCAAAATGTTAATTTTTTTTTTTTTTTTTTCTTTTCCTAGAAACGGAAGAAAATGATACGCTTGATTTAACTGGACTCGATGATGATGAGCTGGATAATGTAATGATTTATTGAAATATTTTTCTAGTAAGGATATTGTGTAGACATTTCTTTCCCTTTCTTCATTTATCTGTCTTTTTTTTTTTTTTTTTTCCAGTACCTCATGGATCCATTTGAATGCAAGCGTAAAGATTTATTTTGGCATAAACATAATGCTGATTATCTTCAAATATTGAAAGGTATTTAATGTCTCATCATTTATTTTGCCTTCTTGAAAACCCCTGAATTTTTGTTAAAGCACTTATTAATTTTTTTATTATATCTTATTCATGACTCTAAAATACTTTGATTCTTAAGAACATCATCCTAAATACTTTGTGAAAAATTATTTAAAATAGCATACCTTATGCCTTCCATCTTTTCTTTAATTGATCTTTATGCAAAAAATTCATATTCCAAACCATTTCTGAAATTTTTCATGATAATTTGATATTTTGGAAAAAACCAACTGTAAATACAAAACAATGAAATTTATTGCATAATATAGTTATGAGGATTTTTTTGAAGGGGGAAGGCAAGCGAAAAAGGGCAAACAGTGAAAGCCAGTAATCAACTGTTCTATTTACTTTGAATGCATTATTCAGGGTCTGCTACAATAGGTACTAAATTATTTGAGTAGTATTGCTTTTAAACTATGTTCTCTTGCTTTTAAAATGCTAACCAGTTTTAAACTGTTGTTTTTTTTTTTAATAATAAAAATTCATAATGCCAATGTGGATTATCCATCACTTCATTTGATCACCTCATATCTTTCCCAGTATAGGTTAATAGGTCAGATTAGAAAAGCATAGAAATTTCATAATTAAGAACTCAATTAAGATTATTAAACAAAGAATGACTTAGTTACTTTCTTACTATCACTTAAACTGCTCTCATTTTTCGACTGATTATCGTTAAAATTGCTTTAACTGCATATTGTGTCAGTAGAATTCTCAGCAGTAATTTTTAAGAAACCATAGAAATGATACAAAAATGAATAAATCTTTAGAAGAAATGTGCTAGATTTCTGTGGGTACATAATGTATCTGCAAGTTTAATTTTTCATTTTAAAAATGCTTGTATAATTTCTATTGAATAATGAGATTATCAGAAAAGTAAGTAATTTTAGTAATTTACTTTTAGTAATCTTATTATATACCTTATTAAAATAACAAAATTACATTATTAAAAATGTCATTTTAATAAGGTACATAAGCCAGAGTCCTTGAACTCTGGCTTTTTTTTAACTACTGATCCAAAGTTTGGCGAAAAGATAATTATGTTTTCAAAAATTAATTTCCATATTTAAATATATGAACTCTGAATATTTAATTTTTATTCAAAGTTATTTAAATATTCTTTCTTAAACTAAAATAGTTACTTTAGTTTTAATATTATGCTTAATGTTTGTATATTTCCTTAACTCTAATTAGAAAAAGAAGAAAGAAAAGCTAGAGAAGAAGCAGAAAATGCTAATAAACCGGAAAAAAAAGTTTGTATTATTTACAATATTAAGTTTTTTTCACTACTATTATTTTAATGTAGTTGTTTGGTAAAAAATTTCAGTATCATTTCTACAATCACCTTTTTTTTTTTTTTTTTTTTTTTTTTTTTAGAAGTAGTATATTTTAAATTATTTTGTTCCCTTTGGCTGGAAAAATTTCTGATAATTAAAACAACCCTGCACAATCAAAGTGATTTTGTGAAAATACGAGTAATCTGCCACAAAGTTACTGTTTGAAATAGCATTCTGATCATTTAACACACAGTTTCTGAAACTGAGCCTGTTTTTCTTCCATATTCTTAGATTGCTCAAATTATTGTGTACTGCATGAAATCTTTTTTAGAAAGACTTAGAATGTGAGCTTTTCCAGATGCTATGTCAATAAAGAAGACATATGTTGAAGTACTACATTATGCACTGTTAAATTGTGTGCCTGTTATAGATGAGTGGTTTAAAGATTATTTATGCAATCATGAAAACTTGGTAATAAACAGATTAAAAAGTCACTGAAAAATTTATTCATGTTATATTCTTTATTTTAAAAACTAATAAATTAGCTTAAATAAAATTTTTCCCAATATTTATTTTGAGTTTGCAGTGGGCTCTGTGTTCATATTTGATTTCATTGTGTGCTATATTCCTCAGTTTAAATTAAATAAATTCAGGTGTTATAAATCAGTTTTACCCTTGTTACTTATGCTAGTATTCTGGCATGGAATATTTGATATTAACCCTCTGGCTGGCACAGGGTTTTGCTGAAAAAGCCAAAAGATCCCAAAACTGCAACAAGGAAGCAGTATTTTATTTATGCCCTTGGTACTAAAATGCCCTTGGTACTTCAAATTTTTTGGCTTTAGGTACTCGTAAAATATTACCTTAATTTCTTGGATTTCAAGATGCTCATATATATACATACATATTAAAGTGTTTTTTAGATGTCATGAAAAATAGTCTGTTATATATATATATATATATATTTTAGGTTTTATATATACACATATATGTAGGTATGTATATTTGACCTAGAACATTTTTTGTGACATCTAAAAAACATTGAAAATAAATATATATATTGTTACGTTTTTCTTTTTCTGACACCAGTAGTTACGTTATTTTCTTCCTTTACATTCGTACGGGGTTTATAGGTTTGGAGTGAATAACAACGACACTTGATGAAGTATCGAAACACACTTTATTTAGCCAATATTAATAAGGACAGCTCCAATAACACTTTTTACAGTCGTCGAAGATCCACTATAAACACGCTGGAACAATCAGCGGCACAGCACTGTCAGGCAATAACGGGGGAGATAGCTTCACGGCAAAGCATTAGAGTACAGCTCTCAACTCTGCTTGGTTGTTCTCAGAACTCCACGTACTCTTGAGACTCTCCACGCAATGCACTCGACGATACACAAGAGTATAGCTCTCGACTCAGCACAATCTAAGACAAAACTCGACAATGCACTAAAAGACTCTCTTGATGCACTCGACGACCACCTCAGCGCTAGACTTCGAGACACTCGTTCAATGACTGACTATCAGCTCACTAGACGAGGCACACACACTCTGAGACACACTAACTGACTGCGGACCAGCAGGGTTTATATAGCTTTCGGCTTGTGTTCGGAAACATTCTGGGCTAAACTGGTAAGAATTCGTTCCTGAAGGTTCTCCAACCATCCATGGATATCGCCGCTTTTGTCGCCAAATGTTGCAACCCTAAAACTGCTTTGCGGGGAAGCCATCTTATTGCGCCTGTACATTTTGTTACAATATATATATATAGACTCATCAGTCAAAGTGTTAAACAGTTATCAAAATCACATATATATTTATCAGAAAATATTTATCAAAAGTTATCATTATTATTATTCTTACTAAATCTTTACAGTGTAAGGATTTCCATTTCTGTCTAATGATTTAAAAATCTGTGAATTTTTAATTTTGGGGGAAGGATGTGAGAATACAATTTGTTCAAGTTTCAACACCATAGGAAAGAAATGTTCTTGCTTTCGTGCAAAGAGCTGGCATTTTAAACTTTTTAATAATATATGATTTACTGCTAAATTAAAATAAATATCTAAAAATATTTCTTTTTCTTTAATAGCTATTTTAATTTCACTTAAATTTTCATAATTTCTGAAGTAGATGCAGTGAATAAGAGAAATAAAAAATCTGAAATGTGTTTTTTTTTTTTTTTTTTTTTTTTTTTTTTTTTTTTTATTGAAATTGAATTGATTCTTTTTTATGATAGTTAGTGTTCTATTTTTAAACCCCCATTTGTTTTTCCAACTTTTGAGCAATGTAACTTCATGTATTTAATCATGGTGTCATTCTTTACTTTCTCATGTTTTCTGCTTATTAGAGGAAAAAGCGTTTAAAGAAAGATCGCACTGAGTCAAGTACAGCTGGAGAGGCTATACAGAAATTAATACAGCGAAAAAAAATATCTTCTAAATTGGATTATGATGTATTGAAAAACCTCAGTTGTAAAAGCCCTGTTCCTGAATTAGGAAACCAAGCCACAGATGTTTCAACAAATGAACAAACAGAACTTCCTGTTCGAAGTGCTAAAAAACGAAGGTTGAAACGTATGCAAGCTATTCCTCTAAATATCAAGAGAGGAATGTCTGACATCATAGGGACTACAAGGTAGTAAGGTTTTTCTCCTGTTTTAATATTTTTTTTTTCCTTTGTAATTTCATTTTGAATTTGTAGGTGTTAACGAAAATTAAATTTCTTATAAAGTTTTTTTAATCTTTGATAATGATTGAGATATTCTAAATACTGAGAATGTGGTCTTTGATAAAAACATATCCATAATTTAGGGAAAGAAAATATGTGTGTGTATAATCAAAGGGGAATGCTCCTATTAAAATTCCAATAATTCCAATAAATAAAATTTAAGGAAGCCTAAGAATTACTGTTTGAAGACTACTTATTTTCCAATCTACAAAGCCATAATATGAAAGGGAAGAAAGCGGAATTAAAACCGATATTATTTTAAAAAATTAATTATAGGAAAAACTTTAAATAGAGTAAAAATAAAGTTATGGAAAAACTGCCCTTTAAGCGCTAGCTACTAATAGTGGAAATGTATATAAAATGAGATGCAAAAATTGCAAATACAAATAACCATATCAACGAAAATTACCTAAAAATAAACAATTGAAGAGATTGTGAAACAATACTGACTCTTTGGGACACTCTTTCCAACTGTTCGAAACATCATGTTTCATCCCTGCTATGCAGATTAAAAATTGAAATCATACTTAAATGTTCAATTCTCCAAATTTAGCTAACTCATATGCATGTCAAGAATTCCCCTACATGCTGTAAATTAATTTTAAAATTATTTGGAACATTATATAGAATGAAAAACGTTATTTAACAATGAAAAAAAAGAATGTTAGAGCAATACGCAGGTATTGAATCAATGATGCAATCAAGTAAAAATGTGTAAATAAAACATTATAATGCAAATGTAAACAGAAGGAGTACTTGGTAACGAACAGTAAACAGGTTTTTTTGGGAGGGAGGGGGTAATTCCAGTTGCAGGTGTGATTGTCTGCATTTGCTGGGTTTTAGAGAACAGCAAAAATTAGGCAGGTGAAAATGTAAGCTATAGCTAGACAGTGCAACTAGCTATTAAGTCGAGTAAGTAAGTAAATTTATTAAATTGGAATTTAAGTAGTCTTCAAATTGTAATTCTTAGTTTTCTTTGGCTTTCTTAATTTTTCTTTATTGCAATTTTAACAGAAGTTTTCCTCTTTGATTCTTTTGATTATGTTTAATTAAATCATTGCAGTCTAGGTGCAGGTTTCTTAATAGTCCTTCCTTTCTTTGGTTTATGTTGTTGTTATATATATTTATATACAAACAAACATATAAACAATTATATAGACAAAAGTCTAGGAATTTCAAATTAAGGTAATAAATTATTAAAGGCATGCTGTGAAATTAATTAAATAATCAAGGGAAAATAATAAAATAAAAAATTATGTCATGAAAGGGGTTAACATTCTCGCAGGAAATAAACATATTGAATGAAATAAAAATAATTCAATAAAATTAATATAATTAACAGAATGAAATTAATAAAATATAGAAATATATAAAATGTATAAAATGTTGAAAATTCTTTTGACCTTTTCAAGGGGCATCTGAAGAATTTTCAACAGAGCCATATTTGGATGATTATGAATTTTTGAGACCATTCAAAATAAATAAAAGGAAGTTCCGATTAAGATTAATATATTGAGTTTTAAAGAAAGTTTCTTGCCACCACAAATATTTCGGTACAGTTCATACCGAAAGAAGGAGACTTACTTTAGAACACTATGTTGTGAAATTTGTAAAATAAAATCATTATCATTAAATACAAAGTGTCTGAAATGGAACTATCATGCTACCAGATTGGAACCATCATTTGCTTCCAAATCTGTTACAAAATCATCAGCTACAGAATGTCACCAAATCTTGTGTACAGCTTTAGTTACTAATGTTGTATCATATGACATTATGAAGACCAAAATTATTGGTACCAAAAGTTCAAAAAACAAGGTCTATGATATTCAAGAAGCAGAGCACTGCGGCTGACTTACTGCTGTTGAGGCTCACCTGCAAGAACTTGTGGAAGAAGATCGATATGCAACTGCTTGAGAGCTTGCTAAGGAATTTGATGTGAGTGCCATGTCCATTAGCTGCACTACGCATTGCATAAACTTAACACACAAGTTCAATCGCTGGGTGCCGCATGAGCTGACCCAAGCAATAAGGACAGACATGTTCGGGCCTGCACTAAATCTGCTCAGATACCAAAGCAAGGACAAAATTTCTGGACCGGATTGTCATTTGTGGTAACAAGTCGATTTACTTCAACTACACAGGCCAAAAAGGGGGTTGGTCTGGGCCTTAGTGAGCCCATCAGCAGCATCTCAAACCACAGTTTGACTAACAAAAATATCATGCTTTGTATCTGGTGGGATTGCCAAAGAATGTCTGGAAAAAGATAAAATCCTCGGCAATTAGGTGTACAGCGAGATGCTAGTCCGTGTTGATACTGCTCTCAAGGAAAAATGTTAAACTGAGTTCCAGTGCAAAAAAGGTAATGTTCCATTAAGATAATGCAAGACCACATGTGTTTGCATTCACCTGCTGGACTCTGCACTCGAATGGAATCTTCTGCCACATCCACCATATAGTTTCTGGGCCCCGAAGGCTTTGAAAATTACCAAAATGTTGGCTGAAAATCATAGATTTGGGTGATGATTACTACCTGCACTAAAGGTACTGCTTTCATGCTTTTCCTCCTAACATTTTTAAGAATGCTTTTGGCAAAAAAGCTTTTGATACAAACAGGTAAAATAAAATTATTATTTAAAGTATTCTAAAAGTACATTATACAGTCAAAAGTCGTTAATTCGGACACCCATAATCCGGAATGATCTATAATCCGGACCTCAAAGCTACAAACTTTCTACGCATGCGTTGCGTTGACGCATGCACATAGGCGTTTACGTGCACACATAAGACCTTTACGGCTGTGAATATGCTTTTGTGCATGCTCATAAAACGTTTACACATGCGCGTTTAATATATAACGGACGGTGTAAGCTAAGCTAAAATTATCTAATTCAGTTAATTTTGCAGATTGCATTGTTCCTTAATCTTCGAATTGGATCCGGATTATTATTTTTTGCAGACTGTTAGAGCAATTTTATAAAAGTAAGCTTAAACTTTTGATTATATCAAATAGAATTTCCGATATATATTTGTTAATATGTAAAGGATCTAAAGCGAAAGTATGTTTCGAAATCTGTTTATCAATTTCATGCTGCTTGGCGGGGGGAACGCCGCGGCGTGCAATGAATTGGAAGTTGATCTGTCAGCACTATCCTTATCTTCAGGGTAGATGTTTTTCTTTTATTTGGCTTATAATTCCTTACCAAATGTAGTATTTCATCTCGATGTACTCCGTCTTTGATATGATTTAAAACAAGTTCCTCGTCATTATAATTCGCTTCCGATAGTGAAGAAAGTGACAGAGGTTATTGAAAACGAAAAAATTTCGATTGACAAATTAGTCGGTATTCTCGACACAGCAATTATAGGACTTGAACAGCGGAACTTTGTAACTAAACAAGAAATTATGTCTGTTTAATAAAATTAAAGAGAAAGTATTATCACATGAAACGAAGCAACTTAAACAACTTACAATGAAAGAAATGTTTAATAAAGTAAACAAATAAATGTTAAGCTTTTTCTTTTTGTAAATTTTGATACCCTTTAGATCATAATTGTTCTTTATTTCAAAAATTACATATTTTTAATTTTGTAATTTCTGCATGCCATCTTACCAGATTTAAACTGATGATCTATAATCCGGAAAAATTGATAATCCGGAATCGCTGAAGTCCTGACAAGTACGGATTAACGATTTTTGACTGTAGTAAATTTTTTAAAAAAAATATTTTAATTTAGTTAACCAAAACTAATGTTATTGATACTCATATTAGCAGTGGAATTGTCATGTATCCAAATCCTTTGCTAAAATTACTTCAGTGGCAAACAAAATTTCTGATAGTTTGAAAACTGCAAATTTACTGGCTGACTTAAATTCTCATGCATTTACTCAAATTGTTGATGCTATAGTTTCAGTTCAGTTGTTCCAGTCATTTAGACATATTTTGTATTAGTTAATTTGAATTATACCTTTTATTTTCACAGAAATGTAAGCAATATTGATACTTCTGAGGTTAGGCTGTAGGTTTTCTGTATTATTTACCTGTAGTAATCTCTTCTGGCCGGGTATTTTTATGCAATTGAAATTGAAATAAGGAATATATTTGTACAAAAACTTGAACTTGTGTATCAGATAAAGTTGTAATTTATATAGCTTTGTAAAAATAAGTAATTAGTGATTATAGTCCTGTTTATTCTTTGAATTGTAGGAGACAGGAGCCATTAACTGATGCCACCAATGAAGATCACATCTTGGTTGAGGTATTTTGTAATATCTTCTAAATCTTATTATTGTGTTTCATTCTTTTTTTTTTGTCTGCTCCCAACATTTCTGAAGTTGGTTGTGCTTGTTAACAAGAATCAAGCTACAAATTTTATTAAGAAAATAATTTGAAATGAAGACTGAGAGAGGAATGATGTACTTTTTTTTTTTCTTTCCGTAAAAAGCTTATAGTAAAGATTATTAACTAAGTTATGCTTATTAGTAATTGAGAAATAATGTTAATAATAGCAAAAAAAATATTTTAAACTTTTTTCTGTTATGCATAAGAATAAGAAATTAAGGGATATGTAATGCCAGTAGCAACAATATTAAAATATCTGATTTCCTTTCTAAAAATAAATTGAAGTAAATGAGAATGCATGAGGTGTAAGAGGGAAGAAGGCCTTTATTTACACTGAAGAGTGTAAGTATGATGTTTTCAGTATGTTCTAGCTCAAAAGTTATAAGTTAATTGTGTTTCATATTGGAAGACTGAAGATTAAATTATTTTTAGATTTTTAAACAAACTGAGTGATGAAATTGCTAGTCTCAATAAAATATTTGTTGAATCACATCACCATGAAAATATTAAATGTCATCAGTATTACAAATAAATATTTAATTTGAAATTAGTTCATACAAATATAAATAATGGCAAAAATAATATTCAGAATATATTTCTTGATTAATTCTTTTGTTTTCTTTTAAAAACAAATTATTTTCTAATAAATCAGATAAAATTTTGAAAGAAACAATTCTCTTGCATGAGACATGATAGTTTTTATTTCTTTTAGATACCTTGATTCTTTTTTATAGGCATTTCTGAATAGTGATTTTACATAAGAATATAAGTCATAATAAATTTTTTAGAGAAAAACACATTTTAAATCTGTGGACAAAATAAGGGAACTTTTTCATGATATAAATATGTGGCTAATGGTACACAAAACAACAAAAGCAATACAGCAAAACTGAATAATATTTTTGTGGGGTTATTATGTAAGACTATATTTGGGAAGAATATATAGTCTTTCATAATTACATAAAGAAGGATCTGATAATTTTTTTTAAACTTGTCTTGACTTAAAAGTAGACAGAGAGTGTAATGCACAAAGAATGTGAATTTTCTTTAAGGAACTGTAATATTTAGTGTGTGCGTGTTCTTATCTGTAAATTGTACAAGAAGTCCACATTTTATGTGGGATTAGAATTAAAAATAAAATTTCCATACTTAGTATCTGCCAGTTAATTTGTTTGTTTCTCTTTCCTTTAGTAAATGTTGTTTTGCATACTCATTTTTCCTTTGTTTGACTTTCTTACGTGTTTATGAAAAGGATCAAATTTTCTTTGTGTCACAATCCCCTTTTCTTTCTTTCTTTCTTTCTTTCTTTTTTTTTTTTTTTTTTTTTTGAAAATGTGTTTATGGATTGAGTTGTTTACAGCATATACTTTAAAAAAAAGGGGTATTGAAAACTGCTATGTATTTATGATTTTTTATAATTTCCTAAATTTTTTTTCAATTGAGTTTTGTGTATTAACTGTTCACTTAATTTAATCTTCTGTGTATATGATGATTTCATAAAACTACATAAAATAGCTTGATCTCCTCCACCCACCCATTTTAGGAGCAACCTGCAAAGAAGCTTAAAATTTCAGATGTTGAATTCGAGGAACCACCTACAACAATTATTTTGGATGATGGAGATGATAATGTTGAACCAGGTAAATCAGTTTTAAGTTGTTATTATTAGAAGCATTTTCAGTAATAAAAGCTTCTGCTCGCTAATAGTATTTGCATCTTTAGATTCTTATAAATTTATCTTCATGATTGTAAACAAGTAAGCAGTTATAGCAATCTTCAGACCTTTCTAAGGGAAAAAAAAACTGCTTCACACCATAGATACATTAATAATCTTAAGTAATTTTTGCACTATTAAACATAAAAAATAGTTAAAAGTGAAACTGTCAAATTTAGAAACGTAATTGTAATTTATTCACACAGAAATTGCGGTTAATTGAAAGTCACAATCTATTCATAGCTGTGACTACAATAAGGGTGAGGTGAGTGAGGCATTTAGCTGAAGTGAATAACTTTTAGAATAGGCACTTCAGAGTAATTTTCCCTAATTTAAAATTAGTTCATACAAATATAAATAATGGCAAAAATAATATTCAGAATATATTTCTTGATTAATTCTTTTGTTTTCTTTTAAAAACAAATTATTTTCTATTAAATCAGATAAAATTTTGAAAGAAACAATTCTCTTGCATGAGACATGATAGCTCTCGTAATCATAGTAACAGCATTAGCAGCAAATGGTTCAGTCCCCTAACTGTTTTTCCCCCCACTTCATTTCCATTTAGTGTGTTTCATTTTGTGAAAAGTGCACAAATAAAGGCTGATTCAAGTGTACATAAAAGTGGAGAAAATAACTGCTGTGTGAAAGATGACAAGTATGTTGTAATTGTAATTAAGGGAGGGTGAAAAAACTAGAGATGCTTGTTTTAAAGCAGCAGACTTTAGCTGCTAAAAGAAATCAATTAAAAAAAACAAGTACTAATTACAGACAGTATTTTTAAAATATGAAATGATTAATTTACATATTACCTGTCTCTATAAGCATTTTACTTAAGATTTTTTTTTTTTTTTTTTTTTTTTTTTTGTAAATATAGAATTTTTTGTTGTATAGTTTTATATGAATTTTGTGTTATATATGATATATATATATATAAAGCCACTAAAATAACAACTGAATTAATGATGTTAATTTTTCATTCATGCTGTTCATTTTCACAGTATTGTGAACAAAGCTTCCTTAGGCATCATTTGCCCATAAACTAAAGCACTCTTGAGCTGCTATAGTAGGTTCTCGTAATAAAAAAAAAGATCTGTGATCCGATTCCCAAATAAACCCAATGAAGGATCGATAACAAAGGCAATGTTGATTTTCCATTGTATCCAGACTTCTGTCGAAAAAAATACAGTGATCGGCAAGTTAATAAATGTGGATAAGAACCCCGGAAATGTAAAACTCAAAATTAGGCAAAACAAAAACTTTGTTTAACTTTATTTTGACATAAATTTTGAAAAAAAAAAAAAAAAAAAAAGAAAACTCTGTCTATCTCTAATTATCTAAAACAACACTGTTGCCCAGGGTGTTTTTCCTTTTTGTTTAAGTCTCCTATTTGTTTCTGGCGAAATAGGAAGGTTTTCGAATACATTTGATGTGTAAAAGTGTTATTTTATTTGTAGCATTTGATGGTTCAAGATCTTTAGTTATATTCTTCTACGCTTGTATAAGCAATTCCTGAGCAACTGGGAAAAAATATTAGCGATTTTGTATCAGTGTTGAATATTTTTTCATGTGAAAGTGTCGAGTTATGAGCTGAATAAACAGGGTTTGTAGTGGTCCTTACAAATGCTTATAAGTCCTTATATTTGAAAATAAATTAGAAAAGCCTTTATAGTTGCTTACTTTTTCTCTAAAGCACTTTTTTGTTTATTTTAGTGCTTAATTGTTCTTAGAAAAGCCTTTATAGTTGCTTACTTCGGGGGGGGGGGGGGGGGGGGGGGGGGAGGGGGGGGGGGGGGGGGGGTTTCTCTAAAGCACTTTTTTGTTTATTTTCAGTGCTTATTTTTTTGTTTTTATTGTGTTTCCCCTTTGCATCAAAGCCACAACTGAGTAAACAACTTTTTCTTTCTGGAGCGTCAGATTGTGAATAATACTTCCAAAAATAGCTTTCTCCACATTAACAGAACCTTTAACCTTTGATTTGCGCGAGCAGAGACAGGTGTACGTCGTTCTATTGGTCAAAGAGTTGTGAAAGGGGTAGAAAATTCCAGTATATTTCACATACATTTCCTTTGCATTTGTCATTTTGAAGAATTATCATTGGATCCTTTTGGATTTTTCTCCATTCTTGTCATGTTTTATTATCTGCCAGATACCTTACGCTTTTTTTCTCTTGGTACCTCTCTCCTTTTCCTTTCCTCTGTTTTCTCTTCAGAGATGTTATCCTCGTAAAGATTTTACTATGTCATGTGTCCCAGGGCTTGATTTCATGAACCAGCGACGTTGCATCAGGCAATAGTTTGGTATATCTAAGTGTCTAAGTCGTACTTTTTCTCCCACCCACAGACCATAGATGTTCCAAATCCCACGAGGTCCATTCATATTCACGTTTATTACGATCGTTATGTATGTATGAATATTTATATTTGCAGAAAATGTTGAGGTATAGCTAAACTTTAAAAATGGGTAAGTGTGTTTTTAACAAAGATTGGCTTTCTAAGGAAGAATATTCTGAAGGGCTTAAACAAAGCGAAAATGATCGCAAGGCCATGTGTTCCTGGTGTAAAATTGAAATCAATATAACAAGTATGGAAGAGTCTGCTTTAAAGTGTCACATGGATCATAAGTAAACCAAAGTACATGTCACAAAGCAGTACAAAAGCATACAAGAAAGTGAAAAGTATACTGGTGCATTTTCCCCAAAAAGGCCATATTGCAGAAGAAGAATGCAATAACATTCTTTTGGAATATTCCGATTTCATTGAAAATGTTGTCCAGCCATACCTTACAGAATTTAAAACCTATGATGAAACCTATTTAAAACCTGACTAACTTTAAACACTTGCCAGCCGTGTCTATATCAGGCCTTTCAGGTTTCTAATCAGCAGCTCTCTCTCTAGACAAGCAGCAGCGGTGACAACATTCAGTCTTTTGGGTTATCATGCTAATTACGATTTTACTATTCATTTTAACCTATGCCATTTGACATAAAAACTACCTGCTATCTGCTAAACCTCTAGACCAGGGATGGGCAAACTACGGCCGACAGAAAGTTTCTTTAGAATATAATTTTAATTTGCTAGTCCGAGGCAAATTAAAAGAAATATATATTATATATCCATCTCCTTTTCTACTTAAAGTTTAAATATTTTTTCCCTTCTTTTTTTTCAAAGGACTGATGATATTTTTACGCTGTTTTTGTTCTACAAAACATAAATTGATGGAAATTGCAAGCACAGACAGTAAAGTGTTAAAAGCGGAAGTTCTTTGTTAGTTATAGCTGCAGATTGGCACCAACAAGCTTTATATCTTTCTCTAGCAAACATATGGGAATCCAATATAGGTGAATTAGACCTCTTAGAAAAAATTTAACTTAAAACTTAATAAAATTTAATCTGTTTGCTGGGCATCTAGCTAAGAACAATTTGTCTCATTTCCTGAGGTTAAATTCAATACCCTCAGTAAATGAAGAGAAGCTTAAGAATTATGAAGATGGCTTGAAAAAACTGCATTTTTGAGTTTGAACGCAGATTTCAGTGCCATTCAAACAGAACTGAATATTTTTAACATGGCTTTCAACTTAAATTGTGAAGCAGTAATGTCATATTTGCAGCTTGAATTAATTGGTTTGCAATCTAACAATCATCTCAAGCAGTTGTTTCTAAATATGCCAAAGTTTGAGTTTTACAAATCATTATCGAATGTAGGTTTCCCAAATTTAATATCTCACGCCCAGAAAATCAGTGCTATGTTTGCTTCATCTTATATATGTGAATAAGTGTTTTCAACTATAAACCTTAGAAAGAATTATTTCAGAAGTAGACTGAAATAATTCTTTCTAAGGTTTATAGTTGAAACACTTATTCACATTTAGCCCCGTTCCTTAGAATCAATACATCTCGCTTCGAATCTCAATACAGTCAAAAGTCTTTAATCCGGACTCGTCAGGACTTCGGCGATTCCGGATTATCGATTTTTCCAGTTTATAGATCATCAGTTTAAATCTGGTAAGATGGCATGCAGTAATTTTAAAATTAAAAATATGAAACCGTAATTTATGAAATAAAGAGCAATTATGATCTAAAGGGTATCAAAATTTACCCCAAAGAAAGCTTAATATTTATTTGTTTACTTTTTTAAACCTTTCTTTCAACGCGCGCATGTGTAAAGCATACATTATGCATAGTCGAAATTAGAAAATTGCAACCAGAAAACTATTTGATGTGTATTTTTGATATTTATACTGACGAGGAATTTGATTTAAATCATATCAAAGATGGAGTACATCGAGATGAAATACTACATTTAGTAAGGAATTGTAAGAGAATACAATAAAATAAAAACATCTGCCCGGAAGATAAATATAGTGCTGACAGGTCAACTTCCAGTTCATTGCGCGCCGCTACGTTTCCCCCTGCAAAGCAGCGGGAAATTGATAAACAGATTTCGGAATGGTTAGAGAAACAAAGGATATGCCTTTATCCACTTTTTGTTTGATGGACATTGAAACATGCTTTCGCTTTGCAAATTCTTTGGCAGCTTCAGAATCGGAAATTCTTTTTGACATAATCGTTCTTTTTGATTTTTGACATAATCATAATAAGTTCAAGCTTACTTTTATAAAATTGCTCTAACAGTCTGCAAAAAATAATAAGCCGGATCTAATTAGAAGATTAAGGAACAACGCAATCTGCAACATTAACTGAAATAGATAATTTTAGCTTAGCTTATACCATCTGTTATATATTAAATGTGCATGTGTAAACGTATTATGCACATGCGTACACGCATATGCGCATGCATAAAAATATTACGTCTATGCGTACAGGTATTATGCGCAATGTGTTGACACATGTGCAGAAAGTTTGTAGCTTTGAGGTCCGGATTATGGACGTCCGGATTAAAGACTTTTGACTGTATAAGGAACTTTAAAAAATGAAATTGCAATTTCATTCATCTCATTAACATATTTAACTTGTAATACTTGTATATTGTTTTTAAAATTTTAGAAAAATTTATCTTGGCCCGCCAATTCTTTTGATTTTTGGCCCACTACCGAAAAAGTTTGCCCATCCCTGCTGTAGACTGACCAAGTATGGGACAAAAATCAACATAAAGCTAACTGTTAGTAAAACGTAAATGTCACTTATCTTCTTTCAAATATGTCCAACTATTATAAGTGTAAAATATTTAATGCTACTCGATAAATTGCATAAATTTTATTTTATTCTTAAACTTATTAATAATTATGTTAATTAATTCATGTTTAGTAATAATGCATATTACTTAGGGATCTAGTTTATTTCTAGGATGGTATTACAAAAGTGAAATTCAGGCATGGATAATATTTTTAATTGAATTTATTCAGTTCCCATTTGCTCATAGGTCCTTAATTTTTTTCATTAATGGTCCTTAAAAGTCCTTAATTTCCGTATGCAGAAATGTGTACGAACCCTGGAGGTTTCTTTTTACCGTTCACCAGCATGTGTTGCATGAAAATGAGTTTTTATTTATTTATGATTTTTCATTGTATTTCATGTGAAAATAAAACTTTTCATCTCTGGCCACTTGCAAGTTAGGCATATTTCTTCAAATGTTTTGGTATATAATGAAATGAGATATAGCATCTGTGTATATTTAATAAAAGTTCTGCTTTTAATTAAAATTTTTTTAATGTTTTGATCCGACATTTTAATTCTATTTTTTAATTTCAGTTAGCCAAATAAATATTTTGAAAGTATTTTGAAATTGCAAGTGACTTGTTTTAATGAATCTCATCAGTGATTTTTTATGCTCAGATTCCTCCTTAAAGGATTAATATTTTTTAATATGTATTTTCTTTTCAGAAAAGCTTAATATTGAACTTTTAAATATTGTGTTCTTAATGTTTAAGTGTAAGGGGGGAATGATAATATTCAAATGCTTTAATACTGGGGAATTTTCTGTAATTTTTTATTCTTCTGTTTATCATGTAGAAGAAATTATGGAACAGGAGGAGGAAGATGAAGAATATGAATCTGATGAAGAGTATAAAATGTCGAGTTTACCTAAAGGTTAGCTACTATAATGTTCTGTATTTTCTTTAGCATTTTTATTACATATAAGTTAAATTTATTTTTAAGATGTAGTTTATTTTCCCCTTTTTTGAGGGGGTGTCATTTAGAAATTCTGTAAAATGAAAAAAAAAAAAAAAGCAGAGTTACTTCGTACATTACTTTCCAAAAATTGATATCCAAAAATTTGTTGTAAGAACCCCTTGGTATAGTACAAAAAGTTCATGAATGGGCCACAAAAAGTAAAAAAGGTGGAGAGTGAATTGACAGAAACATTTTGCATATTAATAAAAAAATAAAAACAGTGTTAGCTAAAATCTCTGTTCGTTTTCTTAATCAATAGGACAGCCTTAAAATTTTTAAAATATAAGAAGACAGGTTGCTAATAAAGAAAACAAATTGTATTAAATTTTCCATTAGTGATTTTCTCAAGCTTTTGATTTAACTAAAAATTGCAGTGATTAAAATGAGAGATTTATTATATATTTTTCTTTTCTCCAATAAACAAATTCTTAGAACAGTGAGCGTAAAAGAATGTGTAATGTAAATAAATATTAGCAGTAGTTATATTATAAGCAAGGCCTGGATTCGGATGATCTAAAAATTCACTGAGAATGCCCTTGAAAATGGCTGAAAAATGCTCTTAAAAATATCCTTAAAAATAAAAAAATATATAATATAAAATAATTACACAGTTGACAAACATTGACAATTAGACTGAACAAAACAATTACACATACCTGTCTCTTGGATTTTATTTTAAATTCTGAATTTTAAATCTTGCATAAATATACAAGTATTACAATTGCTTTGAATTCCCAAGTGCTTTCGGATGTACCCAAAAGTGAACTATCCTCATTTGTCAGTATATAAGTTTTTATACAGTATATAAGTATGTCAGTATATAAGTTTTTATATCAGGAAAAGCTTCTGTTGACATTTATTGCAGTTATTACAGCATACTTGGAAGAAAACTTCATCTTTTATTATTAACTCTTCTTTATTTTAAAAAATGTCTGCTTTTCTTTTCAAGAAAAGGGATATTTTTCGCATAGTTTGAAAGCCACGGTTTTAGTATTTAAAAAAAATATTTTCTTTATATTAAATGAAAGCTTGTCAGTAAGGTAATTTGTGTAAATTTCTTCAGTGAGATGACGCAACACATGAGCAAGACAAATCGCTTGTGCTATAGCTTGGGTTAAAATCCCATTATTGATTTCCTGCTTTAACCATGTATTGTGCAGCATCTCTTAAAAAGAGCAACATGCCATTGTGTTGTTATGCCAGTTTGCTATAAAATGTTTAGTGATATTTCAAACAACTGAGTAATTGCAGAGTTGTTTATTTTTTAGAGTTTGTAAAAATATCTTGCCAGCTAAATCTGGATGCAGGGTACCTATTATCACAATGTGCATATAACAACTGCAAGCATCATTCATTTCATTATTTGAAACAAATATTCCCCCTTTACAGTTTTCCTAATTTTCTCCATTGTTTCCAAGAAATAATCATGTGTATAATTTTTTTTTTTTTTTTTTTTTTTTTTTTTTTGTTACATATGTGAAGGAACATTTTCTGTCCCGTGTGAAAAATCTTAAATAAAATATGCACAGTGAAGATTCTAAATTTATAAAAAAAAAAAAAAAAATGATGCTTGTTTCAGCAGTATTTTTGAGACAAAAGCATCATTTGGCAAAAAGTACTGTGGACAATTTTTTCCCCCATTCGTGGTATTCCTAATCCGATAATCTCTTTTTAAAAATGAAAAGATCCAAGGTCATTCACCAACTTACCATTAATAAATTATATCAGCTGAGTAGAAAAAGAAAATACAGGGAATTTTATCATAGTAATAACATGTATTACCTGCAGCTGTGAGTATGCAATTCTAAGATTGTGTCCATGAAATATCCTTTTCTCCTCTGTAAGTAATTCTATGGAAACTGAACATGCACAGAAAAGTCTTAAAGAGCTAAGAAATGCCGAGATGGGAAAATTCTTAGAAGTGATACTTATAATCTTGTAAAAAAAGCATCTCATGACACATAAGACTGATTACATAACCAATTTTCTGTAAATAGGATATGCCAGCCAAATAAAAATGAGTTCATGGGAGTTGAGACTGTGTTATTTCAAGTGTAACGTTATTTTTGAGATTGATTATGAGAATATGCCTCAGAATGCTTTGAAATGCCCCAAAAATGTCATAAAAACTCCAAAAATGCTCTAAATTTTTTTTAATGCTTCAGAAGGAGAAAATACTCAAAAAATGCATATGTCTTCAAAATCCAAGCCTTGTTTGTAAGATTGGTGAAATATGGTAACACTCAAATTCTATTAACGTATTTTACATGTTATATAACAGGGCTGACCAAACTTCATGCTAGTAAAAACTGCATGTTAGAATTTGGAAAAGTTCAAAAATCACAACTAGATTTTCCAAAAGCCACAAGTGCGTATTTATATCATTTTAGAAGTAGTGAGATAAGTTTTAAATGAAAGAAATATCTGAATCTGAACAATCATTCAATAGCAGTTTGCCTTCAATATGTGATGATGCATCAAAGATAACAAGAAGTTTTATGGTGTCTTTGTTACCTCAAATTACAGCGTGATATGGTAAAAAATACTCTTTTTCAGTTTTTAAATACTCTCATTCTTTCATGATACCTTCTTGTTAATATTGATCTATATGTTGTTTTATAACTGAAGTTTTCTGAAATCTGCACCACAACTCACATCATTTTTCTGCCACCTTAAAATTATATAACCATAATTCCCCTGCATGCTTGTTCCATATCAAATAAGCTGTATATCTGTTGTCCAACGTCTATGGAAACTCGAAAGTTTTTAAAGGTAACATCATCGTCTAAGCTGTGGCTATCATAAGATTTATTATAAATTCCCAAAGCTTCCAATAGCCATAATTTCTGATTAATTCGGGCATCGAATCAACTTCTAAATTAATTTTAACTTGTATCAAACTCTATATATCAAATGTTTCTGATGCATTACGGGCATTTTGTTCTTCTCACAGATCATCCCAGTTTAGTTTCTACCTCTACTAATGATTCAGAAATTCAGCGGACCCTTCCTGGAAAAGCATTGATCCATTTGTAAAACAGCCCACCAGCGGCCAAGCGGTAAAATCGCTGAACACTGTTAGTTCGGTCCGAGGTTCGAATCCCGCGAACGGGCTGGCTGCATGGGTGTTTTCGTGGTTTTCCCCATGTGTAACGTGTATACGAGCCAGTTTCCCTTAGAAAGTCCTCCACGAAAGCATCCCTCCCCTTAGGCAGATAGCCCTCGAGGCTTTGCTGTAATTAAATAACCTAACCTAACCATTTGTAAAACATCCACAAGCAAATTTAACATTTAAAGATTTCCTTTACAAAATTGTTTGAGAGAATCAGTTTAATATTTTTGTTTGTTTATTTATTTTACGTATTTAAATAATATTATTAATTTCTTGACTAACAAGAAACAAAATAAAATTATTACATTTGGACATTGATCAGCTTAAGTTTACTAATAACTTTGGAAAAAGAAATAAATTAATTACTTTCTTGTGTGCATTGAACAGTTTTAGTTTACTGTGGTTTATACATATATTTTATTTGTATAAGAAATGCACCAGTTGTTTGTGTGAGCAGTGCTATGGCCATCCCTGTTATATGATGTAGTTTTAGGTTGAAAAATGTGACTTATTTATATGAGGATTTGTTATCAGGGCAGGGTTCTTACGGTCCTTAAAAGTCCTTAATTTTTTCAAATATTTGGTCTAAAGCCTTATTTGCCAAATAATAACGTCTATTTGTCATGAATTCTTCTTTCTAGAGCTTTTTGGAATGCATTTCTGATTGTAATGCACGCCTACTTGTGCGGATTTGTTGCAACTAAAAAAAAAAAAAAAAAAAAAAAAAAAAAAAAAAAAAAAAATTAGTCCCGAACGGTGGGTCTGATGGTATACCATCTGAACGGTACCTAATTGGCGTTTATAAAGGGACCAAATTCTTAGGGTAATATAGAGGCCGAGAAAAAAAGGGGGGATCGAAAATTCCAAATAACATCCAACCTGGAAGGCCACAACCCTTCCGACGCCAATAGGAACGAAATGCCTGGAAAGTGATTTTTCAATAAACTGTGGCTTCATCAAGCTGACTACAAAGACTGGATATTGATGGATGACAATCCTTATAAAGCTAAATGCGATCTTTGTATGAAACAAATTGAAATTTCTATAATGGGAAAAGTCAGCGCTGAAAATTCACATGAAAATTAAGTTTCGTTTTATCATTTCAATTTGTTTTTACACGGTTTTGCTTAGCTTAATTTCTGTGTTTGTTTCAATTAGAAGGGGGGGGGGGGGGGGGGGGGGGGGGGGGGGGGGGGGGGGGGGGGGGGGGTGGGGGGGGGGGGGGGGGGGGTGGGGGGGGGGGGGGGATAAGCCATAAATTAATTTTTTATCACCTTCTACGGAGTTTATTCTCTTTTTCACATACTATATGTATGGGATATCAGGATTATGAGTTTATTTCTGCAGAGGGTCTGTTATCGATTTCACGGGAAATCTGTTGGCTCCATTTCGATTTTAGGTCGCCAAGGGCAAATTCGGTAACATTAGCCGAGAAAAAGTGAAGTTCGGAAATACGTTTTGAAGCTTCAATAGACAATTAAGTACAGTCAAAAGTCGTTAATCCAGACTCGTCGGGACTTCGGCTATTCCGGATTATAGATCATCAGTTTAAATCTCGTAAGATGGCATGCAGAAATTCTAAAATTAAAAATATGAAACCGTAATTTATAAAATAAAGAACAATTATGATCTAAAGGGTATCAAAATTTACAAAAAGAAAAAGCTTAACATTTATTTGTTTACTTTATTAAACATTTTTTTTCATTGTAAGTTTGTTAAGTTTAGTTGCTTCGTTTCATGTGATAATACTTTCTCTTTAATTTTATTAAACAGACATAATTTCTTGTTTAGTTACAAAGTTCCG